ACCAAGAAAACTCTGTAGAATTGTAATGTCTGAATGCAAAATCTCCATCCCTAATTACAGGTTATGTGAAATTGTTCATAGTTTGACCTGAGCTTCACTGTATTAATGTTGGATACCTAGAAATAAACCAAATAGTCATGTCATGCCGTGAAACAGCCTAATAAGGTATTGCATTCTTGTGACCTAAGGGCCATACAACACATCAGTATACCTGTAACTAAAGCGTGGATCCTTGAGAGGGTGGGGAAAACAGAGAGAGCAAGCTGCTGGGCGTGATTACAATAGCCAGAATGGTGAGGATGCCATGCATTTATGCTTTCTATCTGACTGGGATTTAATGCAGGATGAATTCCTCTTAAGATAATTTGGACTTTTCTAGATACATTTAAATTCTTTTTTTCTTTTCTTCCCCCTCTCCTACAGACAAATGTTTCTTCAGAATTTTATTATGTGTAGTGTGTTAGAACATGTTATTTTTGCCTCTGGCACTAACATATGGATTTTCTATTTGTGTGACAAACAAGATAGCAGTTTACTTAGGAATTTTTGTTCCACCTGTTGCTCAAGATCCCCAGCTTTAAATCTCACTCTTTAGTTGGAATTGTTTTCAGGCATCTACTGTGACACTTGATGTTACAAAAAATGTAAAAATTCACCATGAGCTGCATAATTTCAAGTGACTGTCCAGATATCAGATCTTTCTTTTCTGTGGATTTTTCTATCACCTTGCATTGTGCTAAACAATAATACTAATCCATTCAATCACCTTGAATATTTTGTTAATCTGTACTTACCCTGTGAGGCTATCTTCAGTATTTAGATAGGAAATGCAAGCTAAGACCAGGGAAATAGGAAGTGATTGTGATGTTCTTTTTCTTTTGAAGGAAGCATTTGATGTCATCTCTCTTAAATGCACATGCTTTCCGATTTGGTCTCATGTTATTGATAATCATGGACTATTTCTGTGCACTGCTTTTGTTTAGGAGCCATTACAAAACAATCTCATGAATCTTGCTTGCTTTGCTGTGTGGCAATGACATTAGCATGTTATTTTTGTATTTAACCTGCTTCGTTGGGATGTTTTGCTCAGAATGTTATGTGGTGGTTTATCCTATGGGGTTTATGGGTTTTACTATATTGTTATTTATCTCGGTTCATGTATCTTTCATTCCATTATTATCGTATGTTCAGAAAATAGATGGAATAAATGGAAAAAGGCACCTGTGTCCTTCATTTGAACAAAACATAGGTTTGCATGAGAAGTTAGTCAGAAACCATGTAGGAATATGGCCTAATTTTTGACAGGATGTTTTGAAAAAAAATTGTGTTATCTTCCTCCACTTGGATATTCATCTTCTCTCTCATAATTTCTAATCCTGTTGCCAAAACTGCTTTCTCAACTTTAAAGTCTTTCTGGAATTAAGTGGTTTCTGGATCTTGACAATGCAACATTTTGATGCATGTGTTTGTCACATCCTGATTAGATTGGTATAACTCCTGCTCTCTCAGGTCCCTCTCAAAACTCAATTCATAAACCAGAGTTTCATACAAGATGCTACCACTAGGGTGATGAAACAGAGAAATTCAATAATACCACACATAGGTTATCCATTTTCCAGAGACTGATGGGAGAGATTGGATTTTCAGAGCTCTTCTGGGCTGTTTTGTTTTGGTTTTTTCTTTGCTTCTGTTCTTGTCTTCCGGGCTTCAATAAATTTTATTTTAAAGTGGAGAAAGTAATTTTCATCTTCTCTTTTCCTGGCCAGGAAATTACTCTTTCCATGTGCTTCCATTACAGGTGAGCCACTTAATTTTGTAAGCCTCAAATTTGCTTACTTCCATCTTTCTCTTTCAAGCACATGCGTGGTCATGGTGTGACCCATTTCACTGCTGTCAAAGTTTGGTTTATTTTATTAATTCTGCCCTGTGATTTTCAGATAAGGATACCACAATGTTCTTGGCAGGCATTCAGGTCAAGCCAATGTAGAGGAATGGTTTGATTTTGAAGGTAGTGAATTGCTCTTTTCTCGACATGGCTTCAGTAATCCCATTTCATGAGCCTTACAAACAAGTTGTCTGGCATTTTTTTGTCAGGTGGCAAGAACAAGAGTCAGCTTCTGAAAGACTCGAAGGTGGGAGCACTAACCACCAAAATCAAAGAACTAAATCAGTACACCGTGGAAGCCACACCACTCAGATCTTAGTCTTAGCTTGAACAAACCAGGTGTCAAGACTGTTGAATAGTTTTCTGTCTTGCCTGCCAAATATTGAAGTACTTCTCAGGGCAGAGTACAGCTGAAGGGACTAATTCCGGAACCCCATCAGGAAGATGACATTGTGGGATGAGTTGGGAAAACAAGGACTGGCACTTTGCTTCATTATATCAGAAGCAGTGGTTTTAGAGGCTTAAGGGTGTAGTCTGATCTAGTGTTACAAGTTTTTGTCAGCGATGCTTTGAAACAGACTTACCACGGGAGGCACTGGAGGTGCTAAAGCAGTGAGCGACAATCAACGCAGTTAATCATTGCTTTACTACTCGGGGAAACAGCAAGCTAATGGGCAAATCAGCCTGGAAGATGAACTTTGTTTGTCCATTTACAGCTCAAATTAATGTCTACAAGAATCTGTAACAGAAGCAAGCCATCTCCCTAATCACTTCATGATCACTGCAAGATCACTGTACTGTCTGTCAACTAAAAGGTTTAGAAATGGGACCCCATCTCAGATGAGTATTTTGAGTTTTAGTTCCATGTCAGCTTGGATGTGGGCAGAGGATGAATTCATGAAAAATAAAGGAGGAGAAAATATAAAATTCAAATAGACTTTGCAGGCTCATAAAGAGACTTAGCTCAGTGTGAGTTCTTTAGAAGCTATTTCTGTGGCTTTCTCTAGAAAGTTATTAGACCGTTCTTATTTTTCCAAAATCTGTTCACCCATTTCGAATTTTAACTGAGATTTTCAAAGGTCATCTTTGTTAAGGAGAAAGCAACATTTGACAGAGCTGGCTTATTTTTGACAATCTTGGTGGGGGGGGGTAGCAGTGTATGAAGACAATTGTTGTTACAGCCCCAGTGAATGAATCGGGCAAGCTTCATCTTTGCTTCTAACTTTCCTAAGGCTTTAAACAGTTTTTGAAATATTCTTTTCGCTCCAGGCTCCCTGGTTCTCAGTCTCCCTGTGTGTCTAGAGGACACTGTCAATATCCCTCTCCCACCTCTATATTCCGAGGATGAATTGTTTCATGTTTGTTTATGCTAAGCCATAAAAGCTTGAAATTGAAATCTGTTTGCTCCTCCACTTCCCCCTCATATATGTTCTCATCCATTGTACATTTTTGCTCTAGGATTTTATCTCAAGGGTGCCGAACTGTGTGAGGCTGCAAATATGCATAAAGAAAAATAAGTCATTCCATGAGCTTGTGAAGTCTGCTGTCCCACAGCTGGGTTCTCTGGTGTCTACCGAGGTATGAGCAGTGATTGAAACTTTTCCTATATTTACACTTTCATAGAATTATAGGAAAAAGAGATTAATGTAGATCTCTGGAAGTCTTCAGTCCAAGTCCCTTCTCAAAGCAGGGCTAACTTCAGTGTTACGATGGTTACTTAAGGGTTTTTACAGTCACATTTGGAAAATCTCCATGGATAAAAAGGCATAATGTGGGAGGTTTTTTTTCCAGGTGGATTCTCTGTCACCTGATAAAGATTGACTTCATTATATAATCTTTTCAGTGGAGATGTTCACAGGAGCACCCTCTTTCTCTTCTGCCTAGCTGCCTATATTCATAGAATGTACAGGAACCGAAAATCTTTGAAGTTATTGTCAAATTTGATAGACATTCACCACTTGACCCAAAAGTTACTGAAATGTAACACAGGCATAGGCACAAACAGCATGACCTAATCAGCCTTGTTTCCTTTGACTAAAAGGAGACATGTCAAATGGTAAGTCTTCCCCCTCCAGTGCTATAGGACAGGATTTAGGATGTTATGTACTGTGACCTCTAAATTCTTTTCTGTTTTCAGCTGGACATGGTAGAGCTTAACCCTCTTAAAGTAACAGCCTTGTTACAGGTTGAAATGAGTGCAGCATTCTCCTGCATGGAGTCTGAATCCCAGGACAAGGAGGAAGTGATTTCTAGTGCCAGGCATATCTGCTGGAATGTCTTTCAAGCAAAAAGACAAAAACTCACCAAAAACTCCTCTCAAACTTCCATTTTTCTGACATCTGTACATTTCCAATTATCTGTGGGGACCGCTTCTCATGGCACTGCCATGTCACCGTACTTAATCTCTCATCCATTTAGAGGTGCACAGGGAGCCTGATGAAGAGAAGAGCTCAGGCCTGGCTGAATTTACAAAAGAGCTTTAAGTGCATCTCCCTCCCTAAGCCTGACCTTTTCCCCTTATGCACACATGCACACATACTTTTTGTATGTACATGTAAGCCTCTTTACCATTTTGTCCTTTTCTGTGAAATTGAGTAAAAATTGGCTAGTAGGTTTAAAAGTTAGATGGGGTACAGGTAGAGAAGGACAGACAAGCAAAACCACACTTTTGTGCATGATCAGTATGGTTATTCAAGTCTTTTTCTTAGGAAGGCAGACTGAAAAGTAGCACTTCTGTTGCTCTAGTGCAGATATGGTGAGGAAATGGAACTCTGACAGCAACCAGCATGGAAAAGCAAAAGGTATTGAGTGCTGCAACATGCACAAGCACGTGAGCATTTGTACTTTTTAACCATGAGACAACCTTGCACTGAATTTCCTTCCACTGTCGTGGCATCTTTCATTTCACGTGTAATGTGCTTAAGAGAACAGGTATAACATTCACCATCTCAACAGAGCATGACGTAGGCTGACTCTTGCACTTGTGGTGCTGACCGTGTCAGGTGTAAGAATTTCTCAGAGGTGCTACTGGAGTAAACATTATTTTCCCTATAAAACTTGGCTAAAGTAATATTGGGCTTGTGCTCTACCTATCCACTTTACTTTTTGAGCGACAATGGACAAGGTTGCCAGTGAACCAAGGTATGGTTGAGCTTTTTTGTTTCAATTTGCTTACATTATTTTAATGTACCTGTGTATCTTACTGCTTTAATATTCATTAGTAATTTCTGGCCATTGAAAATTGAAAGGAGGGTTCACTAGAAAAATAACGTAGACCATAATGCCAGAGAAATACAGTTAGGGTGTACTCTTGTCTTTGAAAATTATGGAGCTCTCGGCCTTCTATAGTTAAGTTCAAAAGTGAAGTATCTAAGGATGAGAAGAGATGTATAAAGCCAAGTCCAGTGGCATGTCATAATTTCACAGTGGATGATGTCTCAAAGGATTGCATAAGAAAATAAAATCAGTTCTGCATCCCAGGTTTAATTCAAGTAACTGGACTGACAAGAAATCTTTCATTCATGAATATTTAGGCAACACAGCTGCTTTTTTGATTAAGCAAGCTAGATGTATGGAGTGGGATAAGAAGGATGCTAAGATTAGCTTCCACCTGAACTCTTTCCTGGTCTGCCTGTATAACGGTTACCTGAAGATTTAGTTTGGCATGGTGTTTCATCCTCACCTCCTTTCTTCAACTGTTACGTGTCTTCAGTAATTGTTGCATTCTTCTATACATCACAGAAAAGGGTATGATAATAAAATTTTCTATTAACTAGTAGACAAAAATTGCTTTTCTGACCATTTTTACCCCCAAGTGCCTATTTTTGAGGGATAATAACAAAACCCAGAAAATGCTCTGAATCCCTGAAGGTTTAAATTTTTCAGATTTAACATTCTCATCAGGATTCTCAAACTAATCTTTCATTGTACCATTATTCATTGCAATGAGATGTTTCAGTGCTCCGGAATCAAAATGTGTAGTTTCAGCTTGGCTTGGTATCAAATCACATTCTGCTGGTGCATTGCAGTGATTGATAGAAGTTACAGTTTGAGTGCTTTACATTCCCATTCTTCTGCATCGGACAAGCATCCGTATCGGACAACTGACCCATATCTCATGTGATGGCATCAAATCCCCTCATACATTGTTTTGAGTTAGTACGAGGAGATGTCATGGAGTATGATGAGAAATATATCTTTGCCAGGTAGCTTGCCTTCTAGGGCATATAGCATGCTTAACTGATGGGATTGGTGGAAAATATAAAGCCTAAGTGATTTGAGGTAGAAATTGGTAATGGAACAGAGACCACCATGCTGTCAAATAGTTCCTCCTCCTCTGTGTTGTTTGGGCTGAGGCAATACCATGCAGTGAAGCTCAGGTGGTAAAACTCTGCCCCTTAAATTAACAAGTGATTGGAAAAGATCTGAGCCTGATTTAACTCCCTTTGAAAGCATCTGGGATTTTTGCTGATTGCAATCAGAGACAGATCAGGGCTTCATAGCTTGTCTGCCATCTTCTGAAATGTTATGTGACAGACAAGGCACTGGTATTATTTCTGCTATGAAATGTTTGTATTTTATCACAGCAGTGAATATGGGAATAACATTTGCATTGTGCTCAGGGTTTCTGGTGGACTTCCCAAAGATGAAATGGTCTGTTTTTTTGGTGTGGGTTGGTTTTTTTTTTTTGGGCCGGGGGGTGTTTTTTTTTTTTTTTTAAACTGACTTGGCCACATTGTCCCTTTGCTAATGCAGAGTAGTTGGCTGGCAGGTACTAAAACAATCTAATAGAATAAGGTTAATCTTCTCTTTTTAATTAGACAGCAATATGTAACACACCCAGTGGGCCAGATGACCTTGAAAATTAAAGTGGGAATAGAGACACATCTGTGAGGAAAATATCTTTAGTTACAGGGGGCTGCGGGTAGAAGAAACAAGAGGAAATGTTCGCTGATATAACAAAACAACCCCACACAATCTCCCTTCTCCACCCAAACCCTCAGAGAATTTCTCTCATAAAATGGACTGGGATATCTTATTGCTCTTACAGGCATTTCAGAAGTGTTTGTTAAGTGTGAAGTAGTGCAATCTTGTTGGAAGTGAACCTCACCAAAATTCAGGGTCTGTCGGAAAACATTTCTGCGATTCCATAAATCACCTAATCTCCATCTGTAGAGCCTAATATATCCCCATCACTGTAGCACCAAAGTACTTCATAATCCTTCATGTATTTCCTTTCAAAACACCATGGAGGGTTGATAATATAATTATTTTTACAAGAGAAGAACTGAGGCATTGCAATTTTTCCTTAGGTTGCATAAGAGGGCTTAGCAAGTCTCATGTTGTCACCCTAAGAGAATCACTGGGTCATTTTCCCCTCTCCTGTAATATTAAGAGACCTGGGGTTTTGTTCAGGACTTTCCATACAATTCTAAATTTTTCACTTAGTAGTGGTAAAGGGACTATGTATTGGAGTGCCCGGCTAATGGACATATCCCTGACTCAAACTTTTGATGAAAATTATGCATGCTAACTAATGAAGCAGGGGTAGGCTACTTGCAGGCAACGTGTATGGATTGAGTAACGCTGTGCAGAGACAATAAAAGAGGCCTTCTCTCCCACCAATCCAAAACAGATGGATACTTATGTATCCAAATAGTCATTTGCAAGCTGAATCAGTTACAGACATGGCAAGACTATGCAGGAATACAATCAATATTCTGGCTGTGTATGGGAGTGAGAAATACCTAAGCATGTTAGAGCCTGTTAGAAAACATAGTTATAAAAGGAAGCCAGCAATCGTGCTCTCCGGTGCTGGGCAGTTAAGCCTTGTTAGTTAGTATTCAGCCAGCAGTTTGCCAGTCCTGTGTTGCTTTTCTGTTTGCTGTCTCATCAGAATAGCGCATACCTTCTTGACAGTTTTGGTGTCAAGTCAAACACTCGCTTCAGGATATCAAAGAGGAAGAGGCCTTTTTGATGATGGAGATGGACTACTTCTGGCTGAGTTTTGGCATGACCTATTGAGAATGTGTGTGCAGCATCACTGCCTTTGCATAAGTAATGTTGTGAATGCAATAGTCTGGTAGTCTGTAATGTAGTGGAGTAACCATTTAATCCTATTCAGGAGAGTAAAGGCAATATCAGGTACAGTGCTAACTCTCACCACCACGTATTAGAGCAAGTTCTCAGACACAGCTGAATACAGCAGTATTGGGATCCAAAGGCAAACAAAATGGCTGAATTAAGGTATAACTGAAAACCACCCAAAACCCATTCATGATCCAGTAATAATCCAGGTTTTATACTAACCTCTGACTGTTCTAATTCCACAAACTTGGATGTTTCTAATATTCTATCTACTCACATTGCCATTTTGGGGTCAGATTTGGAGAAGCCTTGAGTACAGTCAGCTTCAGCCCAAATCAGAGTTAAGTTAGAATTCGAACATGTAACATGCTATCTAAATCTAAGTTCCCTTAAACAAAAATCCTGTCCTTGGCCTCTCAGACACGGTGGCCCGAATTAGCGGGTGTCTCTTATGTAAGTCACTTTTTGTCCCAATTGCTCTTTTATGAATTGGGGACAATGTGGTCCCTTCTTGTACCAGTGCTGTTGGGAAAATTAGTCCATCAGTGTTTATAAAGTAGTTGTCTCCTGCAGTGCTAAGCACTTTAGAAAAGCCATGAAGAACTGAATAGCTCTGTCCTCAGAGCAGGCTTTGAGTAGCACGCAGTAAGCAGGAGCCTAGGGCTGCATATTGAACAATAAGGAAAAGCCAAAATATTGAATAATCCGCTCATTAATGAACAGTGTTGATCCTGTGCACAGAATAAAGCAAGAGCCCTGTAGAAAAACACCCTGTGCTCCTGTAGTTAAAGGCTGTGTCATAATAATGACAGACACAGAGCTGAATGAAGGTTGTATGTATCTGTGCAGCTGTGGCATATCCAAACTTTCAAGAGTTCAACTTTGTGACATTAAGGTTGGCTCCTTTGACTGCAGGCTTTCTGTCTGTAATAGTAAGATAGTAAGAGCTGAACCATCTTTTGGGGGTGTTCTTATAATGCTGGTCTACAGGGAACATGACACTCCTTTCCTCTTGCCTGAAGGTGAGTAGGTTAAGCAAGACTGCCAGTTTCATCTGCCGAGAAGTATATGAAATATATGTTGTAATGTGGGGGAATGTCATTCTACAGCAGCTGGAGTATTCACTAATAATTGTGAGATGTGTTGTGCATTGGATTAGTTGCATAGTCTGAGGAGGGGCAGAAGTGGTAACAAAAGTATAATTTAAGATAAGCTGTGTCTCCAGAAATGCTTACCTGTGTATTAGCTGTTTTCTGTGAACCACTCTGACGAGTTTACTTTCACCCAACCTCCACCTCCAGGAATGTAGAATGACAAAGAAATACAAATAGTTTAAAGAACGTCTGCCTGTCTGAAGGGAAAGGTTTGTAAGGAGACAGGATTAAGGCATTGTGTGGAAGCATCAGGCAGACTGGGCAGGAGGGCCTAGAGGAGTTTGACCTGTTGACAGCACTCACAGAGGTGGGAGTCCAGTAAATTAGCACACGTGAAGTTAAAATTCTTGTTCTTGGTGGTTTTCAGCTTATGATCCATGAGTTGCAGGTGGCTTTTGGACTACATCAGGAAAGAAAGTTCATATACTGCATTATTCTCTATGTATGTGAAATTTCTGAAGGGTCAATGCCTGCAGTGGAAATTTTTTGGGATCCAAAAGTTGGAAAAAACCCACTGTCTGCTGTCTTCCTCTCATTAAGTCAATGATATGTTTGGTTTTGAAAAGGCCAAACAATGAATCAGGCTTTCAAATGGAAGAACTGTAGGTGTTCCCAGTAACTTGGTTAAAGCATCTGGGTGTGCAAGATTGATGTGCCAGTGTGACTCAGCGTGCAGCTGGGAGTGGGAGTCCTGAGAACACCTTCCAGGGGCAGGACAGACAAGACCTGCTCCTGCAGAGCATTCATTCGGAGAGATCCGCACATGGGGCAAGACATGCACTTCCCACGGGAGAACTTTGCTGAACTGTGACTTGCCTCCCTGGGGGTGCACTGGAAACCCTGTCCTTTGAAAAACTGAAAATTGGACTGGGCACCGTGCAGGAAAACATGTAGGGGGGA